ATCTCTCAAAAGCCATAATACATGTTTCCAGCTCCATCTGTCAATCTGGAATTACAGAAGTAACAGATGTCTACTTCTCAGTTCTACTGATGCAAAAAATGTTGATACTATCAAGCTTTTCTTAAAACTAATGAAACATTCAGCTGATTATTTAATTTAATCGAAAGCAATTTCTAAAATTACTGTGATACGTTGGAATAACTCCTCATATATGAAGACAATGTCATTTGATCAATGAAAGGGCAAGTTTCCTTACAATAAAAACATGTCAACCTTTCAGAGAGAGGTTGTTGTGAAGTCTTCCAACAAACATAAAATGAGGCAACCTGGTAATGAGCTTCATACATGCGGCTACCAGGTGTTTGGAGTAATTCTTAGAAGCCCATTTTGACAAATCCTTTATCCCTCTTGGATTAAACCAGCCTGCTGTGGCTCCTTATTCTCTCAGCCCAGTGTTTATTAATAAACCTAAACAGATTTGAGGTAGTCATGGTCACACATAGCAGCACACATGGCTGAGAGAGGGGTTGGATCAACTGTCTTTACTCCCCCCCTCAGTTCATCTGCACACACTGCTCCCGCTCACTCTTGGCTGCTCACTTTGCTTTGTCGTTTGAACCGCAACTCATTTCTAACAGATTCATCCTGAGGATATCACATAAAGGCAGAAGGAACAAGTCTACACAAAGAAGTAAGTACAATTATATTTCATATTTACATATAACAGTAACTGAAGTTGATCAAATTTGAATGGAAACCCCTGAAGAAATTCAAAATTCATGCTGTTCTCAAGAGTCCTTTCAAAACATTCAAATAACTAACTGTGAACTAATTTAGCAGTTAGAAAACCATGTGCATGAAGCTTAAAAGAAAGAAACATCGTTATCAATGTTTAATGTAAGAAGAAAGTTCATGTTTAGAGTGCTCAGAAAATATAGGCCAGTTATGTCTTTGGGTAGTGGTTTAGGGAATGTGACTTGTGCCTACGCCTGTATTGCAGCGAGACAGCTGGTGACTGTCATGTCTTCCCCAGGGCATTGGTCAGCCATGCACAGCACAATACTGTCCAGTCCTCGGGCACTGGGGGACAGACAGTAAGGAGCTGTTGGTGCTGTAGATGCTTTGTATCTGACCTACTTTAACACAAACCTTAGAGCTGCGTCTTGTATTTTGGTCCAGGTCTTTGGCTAGGAAACAGCAGCTATCAAATTAATGTCACACTTGTCTTCCATGCCCTTTACTAATCTCTGCTGATGACAGTATTGGGTCAATTTGATCAATTTACTCTCTGGGAGTCTCTGGCTAGTTTTGGCAAACACCTCAAAGGGTGAAATTACAGCTGCATTATTCACCAGGGGAGTGCAAATGCCCATCCATCGGCACAATGCCATGTTATGATAATCTGTTCTCTAATGTAATCTGTGTAATACCACTTGCTGGAGCTTCAGATGAAAGCCCTTTGTATGTGTTTACATTAGTATTGTAGCGGTGTTCATGTGAATGCATGAGTAGGCTTGTATGACGTGTGTGTCTGATTATGTCCAAGCCAGTTGGTCCCTGGGCCATCCAGACTAGTGGGACAGGTGCTGGTTGCATACTCTCTGCTAAACTTCCCCCTCGCCCAGCTCTACATGCCTGCATGTGCTAATGACATCAGCATAGTTTACACAGATGTCTGGCCAAAATAATAACCCAACTCTTCTGTTGACATGTCATCAGTGCTGCCAACAAATACAGCTATCATGCTTAATATGCATCACCTAACGTATGAATCTGCTTTTGTAAAGGACGGTTGTAAAGGAGGCCTCCACATCTAAAGTGGCTACAAGAATTAAGCTAAACCAATGGAGGACCTGGACGATAACATTTCTTCTACTGGGTTCGAGCCTCTCTTCATTAATGAAGAAGAAGCGGATCCAGACAGAACCCTGATGGAACAAAGAGAGTGCAACACAGCACAATCTGGACTCACCTTCACAGGAACACAGCTGAATCAAACGGCTTTGATTAAACCATACTTACAGGAGATGGATGACTTGCTGAAAAACTGTGAGAAGCTCACTGCTATCCCTTTTGGCTCTCACCTCTCAGCAAGTTACAATGAAACAAGTCTGACCGAAACAACTCTTCGCCACAGCAAGGAGGAAGACGCAATAGAGAACTACGGAGAAACAAGTACTTCTCGCCAAGCATATCTTTCCACAAGCTACATTGACACAAAAATGGATGGGGCTGGCACAGAAGACCAGCCAGCACAAGGTCAGCTGGAAGGTCTGGGCACCAACAGGTGTGGATTGGCCACTGACATTTCTTGCCAAAGAGAGATGCCTCTCACTTCAGCGGGGAACAAACTGAGTGACACCATGATGGAGTACGAGGGCCAGCTGTTGGGAATGTTGGCCATGCTGGAGAGCTGTATGGAGGAGGCTGGGATGGACTTCGAGCCCCAAGACTGGGCTACAGATGCAAGCCAAGAATATGTGCACATTGGTAAGAATCCTCATCTTTGTAGGGGCACAACACTGGTGCCCATTCAGGAAGGGAGGCCAATGAAGTTGGAGACTCAGAAGATGCATTTACAATCATGGGCTAGTCAACAAGCAGAGGAAAATGAAGTTTCCAAGGAAAGCAGAAATGAGGTGACAGTAGGTTCTGCAACAAATGGAAGCCAGCAGAACGTTGTGTTTAGCTGTGACGTGGGTGCCTTCTCAATGGAAAGTCTGGAAAGGCAAGGGGATTTGAGAACAGACAGGGGCGTTCTTGATTCTCAGGTCAGGTTTTCAGGGGCATCAATGCCATTAGATTGTACAGAAGATGATCCAATGTACTGTGAGGCGACAAAGACAGGTTATATGTCTACTGGTGAAGGCACATACATGAAGGGAGAAGTAACTGGGATTGAAGTAGATGACGCTGAACTGCCAGCTCGAGAGAGACAGGAGCTCAAGATGGACACCAATGATCTGGGATCTGGCATGGATGAACTAGGTGCCCTAGGGTCTCAGATGGAGGAGTGCATAGTGGAGGTACAGCGGTTAGAGAAGAGGAGGAAGGAACTGCTGGTGGAGGTGGTGGAGTTAAGAGGGAATAAAGACAGAGAGGAGGCAGAGGGGAGCAATGAAGAACAGACAGAGGAGTCAATTGACAGCAAAGTGGCTGAGCTGATGAATGTACTGAAGAAAGAGGAAGAAGGGAGAAGAGAGGAGAGGAAGAAGGAGATTCAAATTCTCAGGGACCAAAGAGCAGAGGAAGAGAAGAGGATGTGGAAGGTGAACCTCGAGAGACAGGGGCTGCAGGAGGAGCTCAGAAAGCTGAAGAGGAGGCTGTTCACCATGGCTAGGGACTGTGCTTACAACCAGGTCGCCCTGAACACCCAGAACCGTGAAGTGGAGCTGCTTAAGAGGGATGAGGTAATAAATTCTACAAGAAAAATCACTATCTTTTCATCACATTTATAAGGAAACTTCCAACATAATGTTTTTCTTCCCATCTTCCAGGAGAAGCTTCAGTCACTGGTGCTCCAGCTGACAGAAGAGGGCTCGCAACTCAGGACGGCCCATAAACAACAGCTCTTAGACCTACAAGCAGAGCTTCATGCCCAGAGCTCCAGCCAGACCTCCAACACCCAGGATGACCTGACCGAGTGCAGAAGGCACTCATGTGGTGACATCCAGCAGTATCTGCAGGGTGGGCTAAAAGCGCTGGAAGACAGGTGATCTCACTGTCTAGTACTAGTATTACCTGACTAAAAATCTTAAATCTTGTAAAAATTACTCTCAATTGTTTCATTGTCAATGGTGTCTTGGTTAGGTATGAACCCATTTTGCTAACGTTGTTGAAGAGGAGGGAGGCAACAGCCGGAGCACTGGTAAAAGCCAAAGAAAATGCCCAGGAGCTGAAGGCCCAGCTGAGACCCCTAAAGGAGGAGATCCAAAAGCTGAAGCTCCAGGGGGCTTGTTTGGAGGAGAAACTCAAACTAATTCACTTACAGAGGAGAGAGGAAGTGGGGCAATACAAGGTAAGCAAGATGGGAGGTAGGGGAGATGTGTAAAACAAGCAAAAAAGATGGAAAAAAAAGACCAAAAATGAACGCAGGGTGAGAAAGTAGGGGAGAACTGTCCTCCAACTGTGCATCAGTAAAAGGCAGTTACCTGTTACACAAAGCAATAAAGGTATGCCATTCTTACAGGAGACTGTGTACTGTCTGGAAGAGAGCAGCAGAGAGCTGAAGACCAGGTTAAATATTCAAAAGAGGAAAACCAAAGAGATAGAGGAGTTGAGAGACAGCCTAACCAAACAACTACTCCTGTACAGGTAAGATTAGTTTATTCTGTATCATAATTTTAAAAAGGACATAGCTCTAATTACAACCTTTTTCTTACAGGGCTGCCATTGAGGACCATAACAAATGTAACGATGAGGAGAAAACATGATTGTATTGTCTTGATTTTGCAAAACAGGGGTTCTGTGATTTAATTACAATTTGGTAACTTTATCTGAAACATAATGAACTCCACAGTTCAATTAACGCACTTTAGAGACACGCTTTTGTTAAACAAAAATATCGTTAAAAGCTTGTTTTGTTTTTTTTAGAACAGTCTGTACAGATGAACTCGTCTGCAGCTTGTTGAAAGGTTTTTGTTATGAATAAAGGCTTTGCATTTGTTGTAACCTGAGTGTGACTGACGAGTTAATGTCTCTGCATAAAGAGTGGAGAGGGGCTCATGTACTTATAAGGGCAACATGGCTGAAGAACTAAACAGTGGGACACAGAGTAATAGAGTGTGAGTACATTTGGCAGACAGGAAAGCACCAAGACGTCACACCAGACACATAAAAAGGTCTGAGCGAAGTGTCATGAGGCATAACGGACTCTGACTAAAAGGATTTAGGATTGTTTAAAATTACAAGTTTAGCAGGACGCTGACCCCATTAACAAACTATGTAAGTAACACATTCATATTGAAAAATGTTGACAAAACATCAATGGACCCCAAGACTAATGAAACACATTTTATTAAGAATGCACTCACTGTACAAATATTGAACATAGAAAAAGTTCAACCACTAATCTATATCACGAAAACATTTAAATGATTAATGTATGACGAAGGTGAGGGGAGGTGGGACCACGAACGGACATTTCAAACGCAAATTCACTCCAAAATTGTAATTTCATTCAGAAGTAGCTGGTGTGAAAATCAGTGTCCAGAACAATTAGGTGATGACCAGACTGGAGCAATGGAAATATGAGACATTTTTAGGACAATAAGATAGCCTGCAAACAACCTCTATCAAAGTCACAGTAACTGCCACTGTGCATCATGTCAAAAAGCCAGACTGCAATTTACTTTAAACATTTTTCTTCTGCAACATTTCCTACATGTGCAGAGGGAGCTTATATTCTTCAACAGCAGGTTATTGTAAATTACCACTTGTTGTGGGTTGTCAGTATGATCAACACCTTAGGTTCTAGAAACACATTTTATTTATTCCTGACTAAAATATTTCACTGTAGATGGGAGAGCCAAATTTGGTTACAAAAATACATATTTTATATGCACTGCGAATAACATGGGTGAGATTCTTCAGGCATTAAGTTACTCAGTTAAAAGGACAGTTCCTCACTTTGAGTATACCAAAAGGGATCAGGGCTACACATGATTACTCTTTTTCTTGTATTTACAGTGATTTACGGCTTGTCCCACCAGTAGAGAAGGATGGGAGAAGGTAGCTGCGCGGAACTACTGATGTGGCAGTTTGGCAGTTTTTTGATGAGGTTGTAGGTTAAGACACAGCAGGCAGATGTGTTATGCTGTGGCTTCAGGGTCTGTTGAACCCTCTGGATCTTCATCGTTGTAGATGTTCTCAGCCTAAAAGGAGAATCAGTGTCAGTCATTCAGCCACATACTGTAAGGTTGTTGAGATATATTTACGGTCAGAGGATTTTGTTTTTTTATTCCAGCACAACCAGAGAATGACTGAGGCTTTCAGAGAGCCTTACTTTACTGTAGGCCTAACTGCTTGCTTTTCTGACATCAATTACAGTACAGTGTTACAGGAAAAACTGAAGAAAAAAAGTAGGATAGCAAACTGGATTAGTACACTTACCATTCCCACAATTTCTCTCTTCTGTCTCATCACTTTGCCCTGACTGATCACTCTCTCAAATGTTATATCAAAAATCGATCTTGACTGAGATTTTCTCTTTGCAGTCGTTAGCTGACATGTCAGGAACCTTCCATCACACGACTTTTCCCTGCAAATTCATTGATGTCTGCTGATCCACATTATAGTGAGAGACAATGAAGTTGCCTGCTGTCTATAACCTTCACTGCAAAATATAGTCTTTTTTTGTTTGGTTTTCTAAAATGGAAAATAAATTCCTTTAATAGAATATAATACAAAGACAGAAGCATGTTCTCTTCCTGTCTGTACCTGCTTGAGTAAAATGTGATTTCAGCTGTCTTACCATTTGCCAAACTTGCATAATGTTGTCTTCAGACACAGAGCAGATAACCCAGGGCTCGTTGGGGTTCCAGGAGAAGTCAGAGATCTTGGCTGTGTGGCCTCCGTGAATAAACTAGATAGATAGAAGAAAAGCCACCGTTTTCATTATGACACAAGATGATGTTACCAATTAAAAGAGAACCTCAACTTCTGAGGTTCAGTGGGCTTCAATGAGACTCACCAGTAGCTCAGGTGGGCCATCCTCTGCATCTTCGGGTGACTGCTCCTCTCCGATTTTACTACAAAACAGATAGAAAGAGTTAAACTTAGTAGCAAACAATGTTACAGTATGACTAATCCCACATGTGGACTGGATGAACCTGTGACTATGTCACAACTCAAATGAGAGCAATGTGTGTTCAAGTTGTCTGTTCTGTACACCATGACCTCTCATATTTAAATTGTATCAGTATTCCCTGAATATGGTTTATTAGCATGAGGAAAACTGTAGCATTGCTATAGCAGAAAAAGACCTACAGTGTTAAGATAGCAGAGCTGAGAAAAGAGCAGGAAACATAGGTCAGAGGGACACTGGGTATGAGATTTTATGTTGTTTACCTGAGGTCCCAGACGTTGAGGCGGCGGTCTGTTCCACTGGATGCCAGTATGGTCTCATTATGAGGTGACCACTGAACCTGAAACAACCAGTCCCAGAACCCAAATTAGGTTACCTTGAATACTAACATAGCCATTTAATACTGGAACTCTCTAGAATTTGTTACACACATTAATCTCAGTGACATTCTTCCAAGAACCAGGACACTATTGTCTGAGAACTTGTGAGATTACAATTTATAATTGCATCAGTGTGATCTTATTTCTTCTATTGTCTTGTCTGACTATACAAGATATCCTGCTATCTGTCATGAGTGATAAATATCTTACCTGGAAGATCTCATCCTTGTGTGACTCGAAGGAATGCAGCTTCAGTTTCAAGTTTCTCAAGTCCCAAAGAGCCACAGTCTGTGAACAGGCGAGAGATATTACACATACAGGCCAACTTATTTAATACCACTGCAGTTACAAAACAGCAACAATATTATCAACATTCATTTAGTCAGCATGTAAAATGCATATGACACCATATCGTTAAACCCTATGCAGTGAATCAAACTAAAAAGCAACAATTGAGATGTGGAATATTGCATTACCTTGTCTGCAGAGCCAGAAGCAAGGATGAACTCGCTGTAAGGGTTAAATGACAAACAGTTGACCTCTGCTGTGTGGGCATCTACTGCATGGCTGGGTTTGGAGGTGTTGTTTGAACGAGTGTCCCAACTGAAGAAAAAAGAAAAACAAGACATATCATTCCATGGACTGTGCGAGAACACTTAACTTTTCAGGTAAACAGTTTCATCTGCCGATCAAATCTAATTTATGATCTTACATCATGAGCTTCTGGTCATCTGCTACAGATCCAAAGAGTGACTCATGCAGCAAGTGCCAGGAGACGTCTTCCACCACAGCAGTGTGACCGGTGAAGATAGTCTTCGCATCCACTATCTTCCCTTCCTTTGGCACAGCACTGATGTCCCACAGACAGACAGTCTACAGATTAAGAAAGATTAAAACCCCTCAATATTTTAGATCCCATGTTTGAACATGACTTAATTTCATGAAATCCAAATGAGCTTATGTTAAGAGTATTATGGCACTAAAATTGGCGACCCATTAAAACTCCCCAGATATGGGAAGATGCTTAATAATACTTGAATATAGCTACAGGCTATTTTCTTACATGGTCATCTGATGCACTAAGTAGAGAGCCAGACAGATTTGGATTCCAGGAGAGACCATAGCCTTCCTTCTGATGGCCTCTGAGGCGCAAATCAGGGCGACACTCTCCAGAAGCATCTGTGGACAATGACACATTAATGAGGATGTTAAATAAAATATTTCTCAGTAGGTCAAAAGTACAAATTACACATCTCCTTTAGTGGTGTCTTGTACTGTGTGCGATCTATGTACCTGGCTTGGAGGGGTGCTTGGTGTAGTCAAACACCAGGACATCTGAGGTGGGGGTCTTGGTGGCGATGATGCAGGGGTTTTGGGGCATATAGCGGGCACGGTTCACCTCTCCTTCATGGCTGATCTTGATTTCGATCTCAATCTTGCCGCTTACTGAGCCAAAACCTCCAAACTCTGCAGGGAGAAGGAAGTAAGTTTATGGTACACAAGCACACTACAGGGGCAATACATACTTTTCTGGCTTATGGCATCTCTGATCCATCCAAACAAGTCCAATCATAATGTATGCATCATAATGTACCCACTTAAATGACTTAAGCGTCTTGCTGAGGCATCTGCTTGATTTACAGTGCCTAACAACTAAAAAAACTTTTACCTTTAACTTGTCATGCACTTCAAAATGCAATTTAAAATTATATTATTGTTTTTATGATTATCTGTCTCTTTAAAACACATTTACACACTATAAATGTAACGCACATGAAAAGTCTACCAGTGTATATATAACACTTATTTAGCACGTGGCTGTAAAAGTTTCCAACCTCCTTTTTCGCTGTCATAATGAGAGGCATCAAACTGGGCGTCATCATTGGGCAGCTGGACACTGGCAATGACCAGGTGATTCTGCTCATCAGATGTGTGAGTGCCCAACACCAGCCGGTGCACACTGTAGTCCTTCCCCTCGGGCCTGAAAACAAATGTTTTTTTATACCATTCACACTTATTGAGGGAGTACATGTTGGTATACGCATGTGACAATCACTACTGGTCTTTTGTGTAAAAGTGTGTACCTGGAGACATCAGGCAGCCACTGAGCAGTAAGGCTGGGCCACTCTAAAGCGTGGGTCATTACCAGGTCATACAGGAAGGGAGTGTTTTTTTTCCATATCTTGTACTCCTCATTTATCACCCTCTCCTCAACCGCATCATCAAATGCACCTGCTGAAAGAGCAAAGACAGTGGTGGCAGGACCAGTATTGAATGACTGATGCAACAATTTCATTTTCATTTGCTTTAAACATCTGCACTATGTGTACCATGTGACCGCGGGTGTCAGTTAAATGTTAGGGACATTTCCAGTGTATCTCTGCTTCAGTCAGAGCATTAATGACAGGTAATACAACTGAACTTAATCAACGGCTGTTTGTGGGTTTCTTTGCAAACGACAAATGTCTCATAAATTAACTACTGACCTCACTAGCGTTCAGTTTGTATCAGTGTGGAAGTATGTTTTCAGAAACATCACCGTTAGCTTGCCATGCTATCACGATTATGCTACTGCTAGTGTTAGCATTTCTAGCTAGCTATTACAATTTAGGAGCTACGTTAAGACAGTTGCGGTGCTGCCTCACTTGTAACTACGGTTTATAGTAGCTAAGATCAACTGGTGGCAAACAACGCGAAAACAAAACCTACAAAATCGAAACGGAGATTGTTAGAGTTCACACAATGAAAATTGACCCGGCTTTTGTTATAGCTGAAGGCCGGCTCAGGGGCTGCGGCAGCTAGCCGCTACCTGCGCTTGCTAGGTGGCTAATTAAGACATGTCATATAACCGCGGTACTTGTCGCTGCCGATAATAAAAACCTTCACTTTACCTTCCTTGTCCGCCATTGCAGGTATAGACAACGGAGACTTAAGGTTGATTGAGATGCGGAGACAAAGAGCCTTGTCTCGGGTTCTCCTGTGGCGTGCTGTGTTCAGTTCACAGAGCGGACGATGCTAAGCTAACCGCTAACAGCAGCAGACTGTGGGAGAGACGTAGATGCATTCGCGCGCTCAGGACAAGCGAGGGGGGCGTCTTTCCACCAATCACAGCGCAGCTCGTGGTAACCAGCAGAGGGCAGCAGGGGGCAGCAGAGGGCAGCAGAGGGCAGCAGGGGGTCGTCTGATGCTGCCTTCAAGCACCTACATCCGTCAGTGAGGTCCACACACTGTCACTTGTAGTTCTGGTCCTGCAACAAGACAAAGATTACAATCTCTTACTTTATGTACTTACTCTATGGCGAACATGCCATGTATGATGTTTATATTGTTATGTATCCTTTATGATGACTCAAAAATAGCTGTGAAAAATCGCACCATTGTTATATTCAATTGTATCCTTACTGAGTAGTTCTGACAAGGAGTTGCTCTAGTTTACATTTTTATATAAACTTTAAGCCCCCGAGGTCTAAAATTAGATCTTATTGTTTATTTAATCTGTATTTTGTTTCGTTTTCCTATTTTTTTTATTTACTGGATTAATGATTATCGGATGTTGTTGAAATGTTTGATATAATAAAAAGCCTCCTTAAATGTGTTTAGTTCAATGACCATTATTTCCAGGTCAGACTAAAATGCGTACTTACCGTGAAGAACATTTACTGCACGTCATTTCAACCCCCTTTGTGCCATAGACCTCCCGTCAATGCAATGTTTGCAGAGAAGTTACAGGAAGGGACATTTAAATTCAGTTTTTCACTTACACTGTAACACTTCTATTTCAAAACAACTTTATTGCCCGTGAAGCTGTCAATTTTCACATCTATTCGTGAAAAAAGACAACAGTCCCTTTCCTGCTGGCTATTGGTCAATTGTGAATTCACCGCTGCAGTATGAGGCGATCTGATTGGATACTTACGTAAAGCTGATCTCTGATTGGCTGGGCATGACGCGGGACCTTAAACTGCAAAGCTCAACAGATAACAGCTAACAACCATTTTTAGTCCCCTGTCTGCCATGTCCTGAGTAATAACAGCGGGCTCCTGCTGTCAGTATGTCTGCTACCGACATGTCCCAGGCACTCGGCATTCTCCGGTCACTGTACCAGCACACACTGACGCTGGAGGAGTTTGCGGACAGCATCGTGTTCAGAGAAGGACAGAGAGCAGTGCTCGTTGAACAGTCCGACACAAACCGCTTCATATCCTTCGTCCGGGGTGTTTTTGTGTGCTTTGACAAGGGGCTACAGCAAGTACCAAGCTGCAACCAGGTAATTCCCCCACCCCCAAGTTAAAAACTAGCCGGAATTTTAGTTTGTTAAACTTGTCACGTAGGTTGACTAGTTAACTACTTCTGTAGAGCCTTAAAATAGTAGCTAACTTACTGTCAATTGCTATTATGTTTGTACTGTTACACCCCATTTGAACATAACACGTCCCCTCTCAATTTTGAGGAACTGGGACAAAGACATGTGCTGAGGCAGGATATTTTAGTTGCAGTTAAACATTAAACTGTCATCAAATGTGATTGACTGTAAATGACCCATACACTACACTATTAAACGAACAGTGAGCTTTCAGGTTTATAAGAGGCTGAACTTGATGTTTTCTTGTTGCAAAAAGAAAAGGAACTCAAATCAGCGATACTTCTTATGTTCATGTGATGTATTTCCCATAGATCTGCACTCTGCCTGAACTGCTGGCCTTTGTTCTAAACAGTCTGAAGAGAAAACGAAAAAGAAACGTCTTGGCACACGGCTACAATTTTCTGTCCGTGGCTCAGGAGGATCGGGATGCGGATCACTTCAAATTCCAAGGAGATGTCACTCAAAGCGCTGCCTACATCCATGGCAGCGACCTGTGGAAGAAAGTCACAATACGTCTCGGCACGGACATCACAAGGTACCTGTTGGAAAGCTGCTCTGTTTTTGTGGCGGTCCCGCCTTCGTGTGTTTTCCAGGTGTGCGGTGTCCCCGTCTATGACAGAGTGTCCATGTCTACTGCCTCCACTGGATTTTCTATCCAGCCTCGGCCCAGGACACGTAAAGGTGCTCGGATTGAAAGGTTTCGAGCTGCAAGGACCTTAAAAAGGAGACAGGAAGTTGAGACTCCTACTGTCAGCAAGGAGAGGAACAGGATGGATTTAAGGGTGAAAAAGGGGAAAAGAAAGAGAGAAACTGATGAAATTATGACTCCTTCAGGAAAGAGGAGGCAGGTAGGACAGCGAGAACCCACACATGAACAGGTTTGCCATGAAACGGTGGAGGAAGGGCAGCCCATGTTAGTGGAACCAAAGCCTTTGGAAAATGGCGTTCCTGCTTCCAAACAGCCTGCTGAATTGCAAACAGCCACACTTCCCTTAGAGGGAGGACCCAGTTGGAGATCAGGGATTTTCCCCCCTTTGCCTCCCTCGCAATGTTTTATCCGCACACTGGGATTCCTTTATGGGGGGAGGGGCATGCGTGGCTTCCTTCTCAACAGGAAGAAGAAGGGCGCTGATGGATGCAGAAGACTACAAGGGCAAGATCTGGTGCGAACAGTGTTCTTTGAGGGACTGGCGTATCTGAACGGTGTCGAGAGGAAGCCAAAGAAACTCCCCCGGCGCTTTTTTAACATGGTCCCCCTGTTCAGTCAGCTTTTGCGTCAACACAGGAGATGTCCCTACAGCAGGATACTGCAGAGGATGTGCCCACTGGTGGAGGAGAGAGATGGAGGACAAGGGGAACTGAGCACCCTCTTGCCTCAACACTGTGCCCCTCACCGGGTCTACCTGTTTGTCAAGGAATGCCTCTCGGCTGTGATCCCGAAGGAGCTCTGGGGCTCCGATCACAACCGACTTCATTTTCTTGTCAGGGTCAGGGGCTTCTTGTACAGCGGCAAGTTTGAGAAGCTCTCACTGGCTGAACTGATGTGGAAGATGAAGGTGATTGACTGCGATTGGTTGAAGATCAGTAAAACGGGTAAGATTGTCGCAGGTGGTGCAGTTTTTCTCCTGCTACGTGTATTTTGGCTGACGTAACCAAACCACTCTCTTCTGCAGGCAGGTTCCCGCCCAGCGAGCTCTCATACCGGACACAGATCCTGGGTCAGTTCCTTGCTTGGCTACTGGATGGCTATGTTGCGGGCCTGGTTCGAGCCTGTTTCTACGTCACTGAGAGTGTAGGCCAGAAGAACGCCACCAGGTTCTACAGACAGGAAGTCTGGGCAAAACTGCAGGACTTGGCCTTCAGGTACACCCGCATACACACACGCACACACACACGCCACACACACACACACACACACCTGCAAAGGCTCTTATTAGTACAGTCGTGCTCACACAAACTCACTCTCTGTGATTTAGGGGTCACCTCTCTAAGGGTCAGATGGAGGAGTTGACGCCGGCTCAGGTGGCGTCCCTCGCCAAAGCCACCGCAATCTCCCGCCTTCGCTTTATTCCCAAGACTGATGGCATGAGGCCTATCACACGAGTCATAGGAGTAGATGCCAAAACAAGGGTACATTTTGATTAACGTTCATTGTAGTTCTCTCTTACATATACACGAGCTGTGTGTTATTACATGTTGTGAGCTTGTGCACATATTTTTAGGTCATTTCTTTTCCCTTGCAGCTCTACCGAGGGCGTGTCCGGGACTTGCTGGATATGCTGCGGGCCTGTGTGCGCTCCACTCCGTCCCTTCTGGGCTCCACAGTGTGGGGGATGACAGATATCCACAAGGTTTTGCGCTCTATATCTCCGGCCCAGAAAGATAAGCCACGGCCTCTCTACTTTGTGAAGGTTTGTTTTGTCCTTATTTAATTGTCCTAATGTTAGTGATGTATTTTGTGTAGTCCTACTCATCCATTTTGTAATGATATTGCTACAAAAATCATCAACCTGTAGTTTTGACACACTTTAAAAGGCAGGAGTTTCAAACTTGTCAATTTGTCAACATTTTCTATACGTTAGCAACCCTTTGCATGCATTTGTGTGCACCTTTGACCTTTGCCATTATACTGTGCCAAATGAAATACCCTTCTTAAAATATAGTTGTGTTAGTTTAGACATTGTGGTGGTTTAAATTGATATGAAAAAAAAAAATTTAAAATGTAGCGGTCCAGAAATTGCTCCCAGGCCTGCAGAAGAGAGGAAGATCCCTTCCCTAAGAGCGTGTAAAAGGAACCCATCTAACATTTAAATTAATGACAGCTTACCACAAGTTTGCAAACAGACAGAAATATTATAGAAATATCTATTAAAAAACAACAACCTTTAGTTTGTGTAATACATTAAACTCTAGCACACTTAAAACTCAGTTTTTTTTTAAATGCTTAATGTTTTCCTCCTTCATGTATTAATTCTGTCTTTTCTCTGTGTTTAAGGTGGATGTGAGTGGAGCCTTTGAGAGTCTGCCTCATGACAAACTCTTTGAGGTGATCGACCAGGCTCTATCGCCCGTCCAGGACGAACTATTTACCGTCCGCCGCTACGCCAAAATCTGGGCTGATTCCCACGAGGGTCTGAAAAAGGCCTTTGTTAGACAGGTACCGTCATACACACATACTGTACACAGTATGCTCCTGTCTGTATATCTAGACATACACACACAAACGTAGTATTTGACCCAGTTAGAGAGTTTCTTATGTCTGTTAATAAAGGCAGATTTCCTAGAGGATAACATGGGATCCACCAACATGAAAGGGTTTGTGATGTCACTGCAGAAAAGAAGAAAAGTTCATCACGCCATTCTGGTAGAGCAGGTGAGCGTGACATCCCCTGATATTTCTTTAGATGAACAAATTAAAAGCTTGGGTTAAGATAAGTGTCAAACAACCTTTCTTCTCTCAGCACTTCTGCTCAGATCTTCATGGCAGAGAGGCGTTGCAGTTCTTCAACCAGATGCTGACCGGCAGCGTTGTTCAGTTTGGGAAGAAGTAAGCAACTTTAAACAGGCTGACACGTGAGCCGCTTGTCGTAGCTTATTTGTAAATGTGAAAACATTCAAATAACTTTGTACATGATTGAGTTTATACAACATCATCATAAATGTTCTGTGCACAATTCCTGTTTAATTTGCCCCTTTTTAGTTGCACTGTTATTTCTCTGTTTCAGGACATACCGCCAGTGTCGAGGGATTCCTCAGGGCTCTGTTGTGTCCAGTCTGCTCTGCTGTCTCTGCTACGGTCACATGGAGAACACCCTGTTCAAAGACATTGCTGTAAAGAAAGGGTACAACCGACTGCTTTGTATTTCACTCAGCTTCCACTGATGTAGTAACACATCTGCAGCAGCAGAAGGCAGTGTTTCTGTATCGTAGCTCTGTTCTGTTTACTGTATGTGTTATTTTCTCCCTGTGTGTTCTGTAGATGTCTAATGAGGCTGGTGGATGACTTCCTTCTGATCACGCCAGAATTACACGAAGCACAAACCTTTCTCAAGTATGACACACACTAGGTTTTTCACACACAACAGTTCATGTGACACAAGGGCTCTCAACCAACATTTATTTCTGACTTAACTAGTGGGACTATATTAATTTGTTGCTGAGTGCAATTGGCAGCCATTACATTTTCTCAGCAGTACATTTTTACTGGAAACCATACGAGATCTTTGATATAGAAGGCTGCAATATCATATCATATTGCAGTTCCTGCAGAACCCAGCATGTGTGTATGAGTGAATACTAACTTCTAGTAATATAAAAAATAAGTAAAGTGAAGATAAAAGACCTTTGTTCTAGTCATGTACTGGCATATATGGTACCAAAAGGTCAGGATTATGGCAAGGGTCCTAAAAGTAACCGATAAGGACATTCCTGAAACACACTGAGCCAGTGTAAGGAGGCTGGAAGTTGTTGATGTGACCACACCTCTTAGTTCCGACTAAAAGCATGACAGGGTTTTATACAGTCTGTAGTCTAATAATAGGTATTGGATTTCACAAGACTGTCGCAATAATCAAGGTGTGAGGAGATAAAAGCATGCAAAATGGACGCATTTTTGAAATATTTCTAACGTGATTTAACATGATTGCAAAAGCTTTGTGAAACGCTGCTCAAAAGTTACATTTGACTTGAATTTAAATGAAAAATTATTAAACTAAAAACACACTCCAAATTACATGCAACAGGCTGGATCTGCTCCAACAGGAAACAGATAGATATGGCAGGATTTGTTTATTGACATGCTGGGAATCATTATCATTATATTATTAGAATATCACCATTAATCTCATCTGTAAACAGTGTCACCATCATTGCTTCTCTGACATATCTGCAGCTATGGGAAACAATAAACTCTCAGAGAAGCATAGATGATGATTCATAGCAACTTTAGTTCTATCTGTATCAGCAAATCCACGTGGTTCTACATATGGAAAGGTGACACAGATTTAACATAAACATGATGCTGAATCTTTTATCTAGCAGTCGATAATAGCACTTGCACATTGTTTGTAGGATCTTGCTGGCCGGGGTACCACAGTATGGTCTGGTGGTCAACCCGCAGAAGGTGGTGGTCAACTTTCAGGCGTCGGAAAGCGTGGGCTCTTTTCCCGGGATTCGTGTGCTGCCCCCTCACTGCCTGTTTCCCTGGTGTGGTCTTCTGCTGGACACGCACTCACTGGATGTCTACAAAGACTATTCTAGGTGGGGCATCATACCAGTTGTAATTACTTTGTATCAACTCGTAAACATTCTTAGAAACTATTCACAGTCTAGCATGGATGATTAATATTATTGCATAGAACACAGTAAAAAAAAAATCTCCATTTTGTCATGACATATTCTCATTACTGCTGCTTTTTCTTCTTTGTTTACCTCTTACTTTCCTTGTGTCACAGCTATGCAGGCCTGTCTTTGCGCTACAGCCTTACTTTAGGCTCTTTCCACTCAGCCGGACAGCAGATGAGGAGGAAACTGATGGCTGTCCTCAGACTCAAGTGCCATGCCTTGTTCTTGGACCTGAAGGTCAGGGAAATAAGGGTTCAAAAGTTTTCAAAATCCTGAAAATTCTCGGATCAAATGATGGTTGTTTCTTTCAATGAAATTGATAGAAATGCATAATGCTACAGGAAGGTTTAGTTAACACGAAGCTAAGATTCTGACCTAGTTAAAAACAGGTCAAATCTTTATCCCTGTAATTACTCTTCTCTACCAAGGTTTAGGTCTTCTGCTCTGTTCAAAAGGCTCCTGACCCACAATCAGCTGCAAAACAAACATACATTAGCTGTGTCCCAGTTAAGGCAGAGGTTACAAACCAGAACCTGCACTTCCTCTATCAAATGATACGGTCGGATGCCGTTTATCAACATGTGGAGCCAATTACCAAGCTGGGAGTTACCCTCCAACAGCAACAAAGTGGTAAATGACAGTTGTAAACTTGTCAAGTTCCACGCTAACTGAGTTAATGAGTCGTGATCATCAACACAAAATGGACAAACAATGTAGCAGATAGATATTACATATCAGCGTAATATCAGGGGACAGAAGATATAACTAGTTAATAATACATTTGTTATATATCGTGTACAAATATATTAAAGATAGTGTGCCTTTTCATACACATAGTTTGATTGAGAAGAAGATTCTATTCAGCCACTCAATTTTGTGTTAAAAATGTTCCTTTCCCTTCTCAGACCAATTCTCTTGAGGCAGTCTACAAGAACATCTACAAACTGGTGCTGCTTCATGCACGCAGGTAAAGAGAGTGATCTTACTTTTGACATTTTTTGCTGTTGCCATAATATGCACACATACCACTTTCTATTAATTTGTATAATTTATTCAGATTATATAAATGAAATGGGCACTGCAAATAATTTGTTTCCATTACCCACCTGGAGTAACATAAATCAGGAACTTTACACACTGTTGACTTCCTCTCTGGCATGTGTTCACTGGCCTTGACTTAATAAATGGGCATGTAAAGCTACACTAATACTGCTATTAAAATGGGATGGTTATCAGTCAATACCTGCACTCAGCTGAACCTTTTACACCTTTTATCTCAGACTGTAAATGTCTGAATAGCTTGTCTCTGTATTGTCTTTTGTCTCTTTCATGTTTTTTGCTTTTCTCTTTAGGTTCCATGTGTGTGCCCAGAGTTTGCCCTTTGGTCAGACGGTTGCTAAGAACACCATGTACTTCCTGCAGATGATATGGGATATGGCTGAGTACGCCAGTCAGCTCATCAGGCTCAGCAACAAAGGCAACATTTCCCCTTAGTAGATCTGGAAAAAATAACTGAAGCAATATCAAATTCAAAACATATATTCATCATTTCTTATCCTCTTTTGTCTTCCCCTCTATGCAGGACTGATTTTAGGCAGCAAGGCCCAGACCGGCATTATGCAGTATGAAGCAGTGGAGCTGCTTTTCTGTCTCTCCTTCTTGCTAGTGCTGTCACAGCACCGTCCTCTCTATAAGGATCTGCTCCCACACCTGCACAAACGTATGTAGCCTCAGGAAACACGTACACTACAGTCTCACACAGAAATTATCCTGTGGAAGAACCATTGACATTATGTATTCTTCTAATTATAATAATAATAGTACGTTTCATACAAAAAGGTGTTAAACTGCACATAACATGAAGTCCAACTCCAGCTGACAGTTATTTTGATTATCGGTCAATTTAATGTTAAACATCAATAAAAAACAACAACCGTGAAAAGTTTCCACTGCCCAAGAGGATGGTCAATAGTCCAAAAAGATCCAGTCCCAAGACCAAAGTCCCAAAGATATTCAGTTTACAATTAACTAAAACAAGAAAAAGCTATTGTCATGGTAAGAGGCCGTGGGTGGAGATATGAAGAACATGAAGCAATCTGCAGCATCAGATTTCTGTAGGTGCAAGAATCCTACAGTCACCTTCATGCACGTAGCACATGCATACATCCATGACTAGTTACGAACTAAAATGTGATGGCAAGATAAGCAGAGATAAAATGAATGCTTTGAAAACACTACAGTTGTGACTCCGAATGGGAACTTCTGGACGTAGAAGTGTGGACCAGGAGTACCCCTTTTCCAACAAAATTGTTCTTAAACCAGTTCCATTCTGGATTGGCTTGGATCAGCCAGCATAGACTACCTAGTTAGCTAGCATTTTTGCCGACCTTAGCTAACTTAAGATGTGAACATACACTTGTATATGTTGCTTTTATTTTTTAACCATCGCCAAAATGTTGTCGTCTTTTCAACATAGACGAACGTATAAGCACAAAGCATATCTGAGTAAAGGAAAGGACAACTGTTATTGGAGCACAGAGCAAAAAGAGGTGGGACTCATGAAGGATCAATTAAAGCTATCGATATTGTCTTGCTGCAATAAGCAGGTATGAGCTGGTGGAAATTCAAGCATAATTTCATGCCAAAATGAGCACTAAAATTGCTCCACCTAATCATTAACACTGCTCTTGCGCTACATCTGACTTTATTCCTGGAAATTTGAGCCCTCAGTCCTCTTGAGAAAATGCTTCATTAAAACATCCTCAATGCAACTTGCCAGGAAGGCAAAACCCTTTTGTATATGGACTTTGCTCCCCAAACCAACAAATCTAGATACATGTACAAATGTCACCTTTTAATTTGATTTGACTGGTGTTGGACAAAGTTTGAGTAGATGATTTTTTTCAGTTCACCACCAAAGAGAAAAAAAACATCTTCCTGTTTTTCTTGGTCATCCTCTTGACAGGGAAACGCAGTCTAGAGCGTCGTTTGGGGGACCTGAGGCTGGCCAGGGTCCGACAGGCCACTAATCCCAGGACCCCAGTTGACTTCTTGGCCATCCAGACATAGACTACCAGCTGGCCCAAATTACACATCCAAACGCAACCATGACACCCTCTGCCGCTGAAAGGTATAAATCAGTATCTCTGATATCCATTGGAAATGTAGAATGAGAATGTTATGAAATTAAGTTGCAATAATGGACTATTTTTCTTGTTTCCTCCTCAGGTTTCGTGTGAGTGAGATGACCAGTGTTTTGAAATTGGATCTGCCAGTGTGCCATAGAAAGTGTTATGTATCTGTTATACAGTACTGGGAAAGCTGCCTGCGCAGATATAGAGAGAAAAGCTGTCCTTAGTCATCTGTAATGAAACACTTAAGTCATAAACACACCCCATAAAACAACAACCACCAGATCAATAAAGATGGATCATCATTGAAAACCACCACTACTGCACTAGACCCCATCTCACCCCACAGTTGTTTGTCTCTCTGGACTTTGATTTACACTTGTGGTAGTTTTCCACACAGAAGACATGACATCACTTAGAAAATAATTTATATGTAAATAATTTCACAGAAATATTGCCAGCCATCACGTGAATAAGTCAAATGATTTTTGTACAAGATGATTTGATTTCAGGTTTGATGTAGTACACGGATGATGATAATAATGGTTTCAACAGGAAGCTTAGGACCTCATACAGTGACATTTTGTGACACTAAGTGTAAAGACTACATGTTTAAAAGTAAAGCATTTCACAGTTAAATAAATCCAGTTTTGTTGTCGTGAAAAGAAATGTGAGCTATCATATATCAAGTCAGGTCCTTATAAGTGTAAACATAAAAAATTAACAGGTAAGTCTAATACAGTTCAACAAGACTGATTATATGTCCGCTGTCTGGTGAATTAAGATGGAAATCCCAAAGAAGCAGTGATGACCATCAGGATGTCTTTTTATGTTCAGGAATGCAGTAACATCGTTACTCTCAAAATCTCTGGTTGTTCTGTTCCTGTGTTTCAACCACAAAGCCATCATTGCAGTAGGGGCTTGGTTCAGCGCGAGCAGAGGACCTCTGGATTTTACAGCAGATCAGTTCGTAGAGAGCCACCACAGGGATGGAAATCACAGGTACTATACAGAGGAGGAGGATTATGGCAAACACCCAGTCTGGGTAATCCTTCACTTGAGTTTGGGGGAATAGTTCCTAAAGAGAGAGACAGAAATTAAAAATGTATAGAATATATTTATATATTTTTTTAATTGTTTAACTTGATTCAATTTTTGATTTAGTTTGATTTGACTTCATTTTTTTATACTAAGTTCCCAACCAAGAAGTGCTTCTAGCACGTAATTCCCCATAAAACCAACATTTTTACTTTTTAGTTTGTGAGAGTGTTGAAAATGAACCAGCAGTAATTATTGTCTGTTTGACTCTAAATGGGAACATAATTTACAGAATTAACATCATGTATGGAAGAAGACTTGAATCTAGACCATAAACTCATTAGGAAACCGTTTTCTGAGCTAAAAAAAAAGAATAAATAAAGCAAGAAGTTGGGTCATTACTCCATAAGACTCAATACTGTTAGCCAGTAGAATTAGAAATTGTGCAGGTTTAAGACACTTCCACGTTGGCTTCACTTAACAGATCTGGAAGCTCTGTCCACTAATTATATACGTCAGGGATTTTTTACACAACAGCACTATATCTATATTCAGCACTTTCCTTGCCAGTGCCCTTGACTTGCTTACATAATCTGGGTTCCATGTGGGATAGGTAGGGTGTTTCTGTGCTTGGAGGCCCACGTAGGCAATCAACACCGCCAGCAGCATTATAGGACTGATCACCATCCAGCATGCCTTCCAGTAGATGTTGGGCCTCGACCCCGTCATGAAATAAATGTCTTCACTGAAACTGTTAGAGGACAAGGGGACCAGTGAAAAGGTTGAAACACACTGGGATCAAAAGTACATTATTCTTGTAAGACCACTATTACTACTAGAGCTATACTGTACTTAATAAGAGGAGAATGTTACTTTTTCATTCCATAGACATAAATGACTCCAATAATCTCAAAGAATGCAATGATGAGCAGAGGCACAGAGCCCACATAGCCGTTAAAGACCTCCACCCAGTAGTTTCCCGAACCCAGGGTGAAGATGAGAGACATCAAGAAGGATGCCAAGCAGATGATCGCTAAGGAAGTGAAAAAAAAAAAAAAAAGCTTTTCAGAGAAGGAATTCAAAGGGGAAAAATGTGTCCTGACTTTCAAACAACTTGAGCTGATTTGCAGGTACCTGTTAAGACTTCATTGGGGATCCACTTGGGTACTATTTTCAGGTCGTGCATGGGTGTTAGGACTCCCTCTATGTTGCCAAACATGGAGGAGAGCCCCAAGCTTAAGAGCATGATGAAGAACAATATGGCCCATACCTGTGAGCCTGGCATCTCCATCACTGCTTCAGTGAACACAATAAAAGCCAGGCCGGTACCCGATGCGCTCTTGGGGAGGAAGATGAAAGAGAGGCAAGAAATGTATTAGGAGGCATGAACTGACTGTACAGGTTTGACCTGCACATGATGTACTACGAGAGCAGAGGATAAGCAGGTTTTAAGGGAGGAGGCAAATTAAAGAAACAAGACAAAAAGTAAGCTATGCACAAGATTGGATGTGTTTTCAAAGTTACATTACCTGGTCAAGGAATGTTTGCAGATTGCAGGACTTGAGGGGCAAACTGGCCACCTCATCTGGAAATGTACTATTTAGATAGTCATACCACTGATAATAGTTCTCGAGTGTCATGTTCTGGTCTGAAAGCTCAAAGTGGTTGGTCAGATCCAAGATGTTACTGCAGATGGGATACAAAAAAAATAAATTGGTACCAGCAAGAAAAATTCAGCTTTAAAATTACATAAAGTATTTGTGTATACATACTCCTCTCGACAGGAGTTGTAGGCGTTGGTAGCTTTAAATCCCAGGATGGAGAAGATGGAAATGGAGGCGTAGAGAGACGTGGCACTATTTATCACTCCTACTAGAACAGCATCCCTCTCGCAGTTGTTTCTAACAGACACAGAAGAGACAGTTACAGCTTTGTAACTGAAATCATCCCAGTTTCCTGAGGGAGTTCAGGAGTTTTAGCCCTTACCTCTCTGAATTGTAGCTGGAGAAAGCTATGAGACCTCCAAAGGCCACAGAGAGAGAGAAGAAGATCTGGGTGGCAGCGTCCAGCCACACCTGAGGGTTCTTCAGTATCTCCCACTAGAGCCAGAGTAAAAACAACACGTCAGATCATTGTGTCTGTCTGTCTTCATCTGTAGTAGCAACAAGTGACCGGACTCACATCAGGAGTGAAGAGGTACACCAGTCCATCAGTAGCTCCTGGGAGAGTGAGGGCACGGACCAGGAAGATAGTCAGCACCAGGTAAGGGAATGTGGCAGTAACATACACAGCCTGAAACATAAAAACATATGTCAAGTATGGTACAGTGGCTGAGTTTGAAATAGGACTTCATATACTTTTCACCAGGTAAACTCACCTTCCCCATGGACTCGATACCTTTAATAAAGCAGATGTAGACCACACACCAGGCGCTGGCAAGACAGATGACCAACCACCACTGCAAGGAGCCACTGGTCTCGATGTCAGGTGTGATGTTCAGGGTCTGACGGTACCAGAAGTAATTCACTGAGGTGCTCTTCTCACACTCCACATCGTAACCTGTATGGATGCATACACAAGTGAACAACAATAACAACACGAGATCTACAAAATTCTGTTAACGGCTTAATCTTAAAGGTGCAATATATAAGAATGTGGAGCAATTTACATGTATTAATTGCCTTTTACTGCCATGTGTAAATGGATTGTAATGTAAAAAAATGACACATTGAACATATTCAGTGTTCATTTCAGTGTTCAGTCTTGTTTATGTGCCAGCCAACCTGCTCATCAGGAGCAGTTGGGGGGTTCAAGTCGCTTTGACTCTCTCTGGAGGAGCTTGGGATCAAACCAGGAACCTTCTGATTACTAGACAACCGCTCTACGTCCAGAGCCATGCCGCCCCCGCATTATTAAAATATCTTTTGTAGTTCATCAAAAGATGTGTTCCTGCATAGTTTAATCTAAAATGTGGAAAATATGTAGCAACTATTTACCGCCATGAAACAGATTTTAATATCTTGGTAAGATTACTGGAAATGAATTTGCCTGCATTGAGGAGACAAACTCTGAACCTTGAAAGAGAAGCATGCTCTTCTTATTTTATGTTGTGGTGCAGTATCTCTTTGTGCCATAAAACAATTCAGTAGTTTTCCTATTAAATCTGACCTGAAATGCCACGTCAAGCCTGGTTGTTAACCACTCATTTTGGTGATAGTCTTATAACTTTATTGCAAGTCTACCAAATTCTCTAACTGAATTTGATAGATTAGAATTTGAGTGCTGAGCTGCTCTCAGGCAATACTTCTGTTGTGATATGAATAAATGTACTGGCTGGATGGTGGGTTTTCTTGTCACCTGTGTGGTTATCATTGAGTGGACACTGGCTCCATGGCAGGGGGTTTTGGAAAGAGTGAAAGAAGTACCATAGCACCCAGGCAATGATGGTGTTGTAGAAAATGCTCACCAGGAATGACACAATCATGGAGGCAATTCCTACAAACAGGAAATAAATGATAAACATTTTCCATGTCACAAAAAAGTTTTAAGCTCATAAAATAATGAAGAATCTGACAAAAAAACCCCATCCTAATAGATTTTACTAACAATTCTAGGCCACCCACCGACTCCCCCTAGTAGTGGTGAGATGGATTTCCAGACACCAATGCTGCCCATGCGGAGCCTCTGTCCTATAGCCAGCTCCAGGTAGAGCAGAGGGAGGCCCTCAAACACCAGCGCTATCAGGTAGGGGATGAGGAATGCACCTGAAGACATGAAGTAAACGTTTACCTCACAGTTATACACTGTTAGACATCGACCAGATTAGACTGTCTATATGAACATCCTGCAGAGAAAATCTAAAATAAGGGTGTTTTTAACCATCTTAATGAAACAAATAACAACTATGTTAATCAAGCCATAATGAGCAAAATTTTAGGCAATGCTAAATAATTGCACTGCAATACCAAAAGAGCACTAGAAATTGAAACTGATTTAAACACTAGTTGATCACTGGAATATTTTGCGGTTCTCCAAGTGACCAATATGTGGAGTAAAAACAGCTTCAAATCTATCTAAGGCTCTAGAAAGTACTGAGAAAAAAGCTGACTAATTGATCACTAAGCCGAGGTCAAATAGAGGCTTAGTTGGGTGTAACACTACCTGTGGGAATCAGGACTCTGAGTCAATATGTAAAGTTGATAGACCCTATGCATATTTAAGGGACTGGCTGTTAACTTAACTTAACCCTGGCCTGGATTCTTTAGGATTCTGTAACTTTTGGAATCAAGATATCTCACTAGAAACTATGAGGAAGTAAATACAGGAGTTGAGCAGATACAGAACCTGAGGATCAATCAAACATAGATAAAGTTAATCATTTCAAGAGAAACGTGACAAAGACTGGCCTACACCATTTGTTAATGCCTTATTATACTGAGACAGAAAAAGGATATGCAGTGTTGTTGCAATGCAATTGTGGCTAAGAATAATTACTTTATTGGATAGAAGTATTTTAGGAATTAAGTGAAAAAGTAACATGCTATAATGTTGATGATGTAAGTTCTGGGAAATACAATGCAGCTCTTATAATAGCATCATATAATAGCATCTCACCTCCTCCATAGATTTGGCATAGGTAGGGAAAACGCCAGATGTTTCCAAGTCCCACTGCAAAGCCAATACATGTCAACAGGTACTGAATCTTGTTGTCCCATTTGGGTCTCTCCTCCACCCCAGAGTCTCCTGTTTTGCCCATCCTCAGCTAGAAAAATGTCCTAATCTGTTAGCAGGATGCAGCTCTCCTTATCCAAACATACACAGGTACGATAGTATATGTTTTTATTTAGTCCCTAATTCTCCACCTCAAAGTGTATGTCAGAAAAAATACAGCATTGAGTGGTTTAGGCAAAGTGATGTCCAGTGCGACTCTCTAGTCCTCTGTCTTACTCTCTTTAGTGGGCTGTCCTTAAATGTCCTATCAGGTGTAGCTTTGAGTCAGGGATACAGATTTTTATTGGTTTTTATAAAGATCTGAGGCCACCAGGAAGGGAGTGAATATATCAGTTATGATGATTTAGTGATTAAACCTCCCTGCTTGTTTAAAATGGGAGTGTACTATGCCCTGAATAATAGATAACCTGGTGATGCTGTTCCAATGTTACACTGACCTAAAGTGATCTGTTTGGATGCAGACAGTCAACAGAAAAAGACACAACGGCAGTTGTGTAACAAGTGTGTTCATGGAAATCAAACAGGCAGTGTTTTACAGAGAGTGAAAAAATAAAGCAAAATACTCATCTAATTTAAAGATTTAAAGCAAAAACAGGGAGAAAAAAGTAATTACAATTTAATAACTGTGTGTTAAAAGTAAAATGAATAGGCAATGGTAGGTAAAAGCAAAGGTGAAAAGTTCCAGAGAGAGAGAAACTATTTCAGAGTCTCAGTTGACAATGGTTAAAGGCAAGGTCACTGAATTTGTGATACAATAAGAAGCAAAGAGTCTGAGTATGTGAGATCACGACCAGGGTCACATTCTGGTACCGTCTCTCAACACACATAGTCCAGAGCAAGTCCAGAAAGTTTCACATTCTCAACATCTATTCCAATACTGTATTTTGAACTGAATTATCACCTCTTCTCTTGGCCAGGGTTTAATCTCTGTCAGCACTTATCTGCACAAGACAAATTATTATTGTTTAATGGAGTTTTTGAGCAGACCTGAGATCAGTGTATTACAGTATTAAAGTCTACTTTTTGCAAATGCATGTGTAGGTTTAACTGAAGGGATCTAATACATCTCTTTTAGAAAAATACCAAAACAGTGTTAAAATACAGCACACCACAAAATGTAACAATATGTAAAACCGTTGTTTAAGTACTTGTGAAACTGATTTGTTAACATTATTGCTTAATTGGGCACCCAGTTAGCTCAGTCGGTAGAGCTGGGGACCCATATATGGAGCTGCTGCAGCGGCCCAGCTTCGAATCCGACCTCCGGCCCCTCTCTGCGTGTCATCCCTTCTCTCTCTACCCACCTTCCCTGTCTGCCTCCAGCTGTCACTATCCAATAAAAGGCAATAAAAGGCCAAAAAAAACCCCAAACATTAAGCTTACCAAATGATGTACCCCAGTTCTTCTGTTACAGTCACAACCAGAGATGCCTTTTTACACTGAAACGGTTTTCGTGCTCTCCCAATGTCTGTGCGTTTCCTTCAGGTGCTCCAGTCCAAAGACATGCAGTCTTGAGTTTCTAATTTGTCCATATAAATGTAGGTTTTGTCTATCTATATTTGACCGTTGATATGCCCAAGCAATAGAAATGAAGTTGTCCTCTAATATAAACATTTTGATCGGTGTAGCTTTACCACTAATGAAAGTCAATTCAAAGCCTATCATCTTAATGATTCCTGGTTGAGAAAAAACAAGGCTTTTACAAACTGTAAATGTAAATAAATTTACTTGTAAATGTATCAGAAGTATGATTGTCATCTATAATTCCTCTCCCTTTGAACTGATACAATTTCAAGCAGTGGTCTGTTCCTGCCACCTACTGGTGTAAACATGCTTCTGTAAAGCCCCGCATTAATGCCTTCGTCCTCCTCTATCTGGTTTACTTCTTCTTGTTTTTCTCTTCAGGCTCTGTGAGTGTAAGTGGCTCAGTAACAGTCTCTGCAGAGAAGGCCTGACTTGTCCTCGCTGCTTATTCAGATGCAACTCCAAAAACAAAAAACAATCAGTTTTGAACCTCAAAAGTTGGTTCCCAGCTGAAACCATATTCTATAGGTTGTTCTGAATTGTGCAAGGACCTCTGTTGATGACGCATCCTTGTTTACAATGATTCTGCTTAAAACTAGTATAAATGTGAGCTAGTTCACTAGTTAGCACCAAGCTTCCAAAAATCTTGAATGGAACCAGTTTAAGAACCAGAGCTAATTTGATGGAAAACACTATTTGTGTTCTGCCCATGTGAGGTCTCCCTCTTTTGGACAGTTTGCTGCTCTACATGTTCTGTCTGTCTTAAGAACTTAAGTGCTGACATAGGATAACAACTGATGCATTGCTTCATGTCCCCTCATGTCTATAATTAAAAATTACTCTTAAATACACCACAAACATTTTATATGAGATTGTATGCTAATCGATTTTTAATTTCTTTGAGAGATCCTCATTAAGTCAACTATGTCTGTCCTGAAAGTTATTCCAAGTTGTAGATAGTTCATGCAGTGCAGACATAATTCTGTTAAGAGTTATATAATGTTACATTTCAATGTATGGTCAAGTTCAGGTCTAGTAGTCAGTAGGTTAGTGGTTCAAACCCTGGCTCCGCCACCCTATGAAATGGCTAAGTAGTTGAAGAGGTGGAGGAATGCTGCATAGAGTAATTGGGGCTATGAAATGAATTAAATGGCTGAGTAAAGGTAGAGGTGGCAGTATAGCTCAGTAGGTAGAGCTGAGGTATGGTTTGTTTGTGGTTCAAACCCTGACTCAGCCAAGCATATGGCTAATGAATGGCTAGGTAATGGAGTAAAACAGGGAATTGAATAGGGCAAAGTAATGGGGGAAATGTCAAGGCAACTGACTAAGGGGTTAGGTAATGGGTTAAATAACACAGCTGGCATTTGAGTAACTGGCCAGGTACCTTAGTAAAGAGCCAAGTGACTTTCTACAGTCAACAACAGCTTATTTGAAGTTTTTTCAGTCAGGATTTAGAGTACCTGTGAAAGTTATTAACAACTTTGATTATCATTGATGCTCGTTCAACAGCTTCATTCAAATTAAAGCCAGCAATTCAGTCTGGCGTCAGCTTTTGAACTAATCTTCAAATATTCTACCTTTTATAGATTATTATTAACTTTTAAAACCATCAATTCAGTTTAGCATCCGCCTTTCAGCAGTCAGCATTCACACCTTTTCTAGTTTAAATGATATTGTTTTTTTATAAAGCAACACAACAAATAATAAATAACAAATGATATTGCATTTTATTGTCATTTGGCAGAAGTTTTTTGACAGGTTCTTATTCTTTTCAGCCTAGACAATGCATACCCAGGCACTGCCAAACTGGGGATTCCTGCCAAAATAAAGATGACCGCATTGATCCATGGAGGGTACGCTACTGATGCCATAGACGGGAACTTCACCTGTAAACCACAGAACGGTATGGTTTGTTAACAACAACATTTACCATAAATTATGCAACATGAATTGGTCTGTTTTGCATTGAGGCATGATTAGAAAATACGGCAACAAGTAAGTGTGCTTACAGAGTTGGGGTCCCAGACTAAATATGTGAGCTCTTTTTGGGCTTGTGTCACCAGGTAGAAAACTAAAATGACCAGAACGATTAGAGGACTGATGAACCTCCATGTAACCTGCCAGAAGATGGAGGGCTTATGTCCGATCATGAACTCCAAGTCCTCATTGAACCTGCCCCACAAGAAGGATTTAATTAGATTATAATATATATATATATATAACTTTATTTAATGTATCAATATATTTTACAGAGGTGTGGCAAAGATAGCATCAGCACTGAAAAACAGAACATAGAGGTTACAAAACATACATAACAGGCTTATAATGAAATATAATATACAATATGAAGAGAGTAATTGAGAATAAAACAAAAACAATGAGCTATAAGATGATAAAACGGTCCATAAAGCAGAGCAGAACTCGAAGTTGGGTGATGATCATCCGTGGGTTTGTCACAAGGAGCAACGTCTTTAACATTACACAGTAATTTTTTCCATTGTAAATATAAAAATATTGATTAGTGCAGCTTTAACTTAGCACATAAAATGGTTAAACATACTACAATGAGTTTATTTAACTGTCATGAAACAGTCTCAGTTTAACACTGATACCTCTATATGAGCTAAATAGACAAACAAGACCATCAGCGAGAATATTGGCTATATTTCTACCTAATTTTACGTCTGCCACTGGGTCAGATTCCCCTTGAAATCAATTAAACGAGGTGGTGGAAACACATTAGTCCAGAGCGGCGGCCAGAATCAACAAAAAATTAAAAGTTCCTTGTTAGTGCTTTAAATAAATCATGAAAATGACCATGTACATAAAATATTGCTCAATTACAGCTAGGTGATATTCTTTATTCTTTTAGGAGTGCAGATGTGTGGCTTCTGCTAACATGGTTATTTTGCAGTAGGCTGTACTTTATCATACAATTCAATTTTAAGCTATACATTAGCTTAATGCACTGACCTGTCTATGCCGTAGATGTAAACAACAGCTATCATCTCAAACAATCCAATGGTCAGAAGTGGAACAGATCCGGCGAAGGTGTCAAAGAGAGTTACCCAATAAATCCCTGAGTTCTGGGCGAACAGGAGGCAAATGATGAAGGCGACAACACATGTTACTCCTGAAACACACACAAATCAGACAATCAATTAATCTGGGGTTGCACAGCTACAATGACTAGATTGTTATAATTATAAAACAATACCAGTCAGTGCTTCTTGGGGCCATTTTTTTGGTAGAATATTGAGGTCTTTCAGTGGGACCACCACTCCTTCAATGTTGCCAAACAGGGTTGAGAGTCCCAAGCAGAGAAGCATGACGAAAAAGAGGACAGACCAGATTGGAGAACCCGGCATCTTGGTGATGGCTTCTGTAAATACAATGAAGGCCAGACCTGTGCCCTCCACTCCCTGGACAAACACACACATTAGTCCTAATGCAGATAAGACTAAAATAATAACTTAGAAATCTGATTAATATCTATCAATACAGTCACCTCACTGAGAAGTTTCTGCATGTCGCAGGTTTTGATGTCCAATCCAGGAACAATATTAGGGTAGGAGCTGTTGAGATGGTTAAAGGCTGCCTCATAGTTGCTCGTAGTGATGCCGTCTTCAGGAAGGTCAAATGCGTTTGATAATGTCATGATGTTACTTTGGAGAAAGTGTGTCAGTGATTAGTAACTCTATATTACTGGAGTCAACATTAC